GAGATTATAAACAATCAATAATCAAAGTTTCATGTGTCAGAAAGATAGGCAACATGCAGAGCAATGAAAAATTGCAATTAATTTCTATAAGGCGTGTGACATCAATCAATAGATAGGCAACATAGACAACACTCCGATGCAGTAGCATTAATTTTACCATGTACCTAATTGCAATTTATCGCAATCTGCGCTGTTGAGAAAGGGAACTCTCGATCACCCTGTGCAGGTACTCACGATCAGTATTCTATTCTACCCATTATTAGTTTTATTAAGGCGCTACTTGACTAAGGTACGTTTGGGCGATAATTGAGAATCCAAAAATCCTGTGATACGAATAAAGAGACTTGTGATATAAAACCAGCACTGTGATACATCGAGACCACACGGGGGAAAAAGGGTCGGCGTGTATGACAATTAACACCTGGCTGGTAAATCTCATTTTGGCAATGAACACCAAGAAGTTGTTCAAATTTGAAAAGCCGTAAAGGGAAAATTTACCAAACTCAGATCGTAAAAGAACATCTGGTAGAATTTATTAGGACATTAGTATATTCTACCTGATAAGTACTGGGTAAAATATCCCTACTCGAGCATTTTGAGCTAGCCCGCTGCAGTTTAAATTTACCATACCGAAGCAGTGAATTCAACTGACCAAAATTTCACTAGGAACAGCTGCACTGTTATCGTAAGTGAGCAGCTGAGATACGGTCCGCCATTTTTTCTTTGTCAGTTATAAGTTCAGCACTTTGAGGGCCGGAGTCCGTGCGCTTGGCTTTAATGATCCATATAAAACCATGTGATTTCACGCGTAATTTGTCCAAATTTGATTTCAAATCATCTCTGAAGCCACCGTCTTTTCTTTGAATCTATCGTTATCTGTTCATTTAGCCACGGCTCATTTAGCCGCGTGGTGAACTGCAACAAAAATTGTTGCAAATTGCCACAAACTCTGGGTGCTGTGTGGCTAAATGAAACAGAAAAAAATTAGTGTGCTTAAAGGCAACAAAAATTGTTGCAGTTAACCACAGTCTTTAGAATGGCCTACCAAATTCAGCGAAAAAAATTGCTATTTATCCTCCCATTCTTATTTTACTGCAGTGTAAGTGATTTTATTGAAAATCTGGAATAGATTAGAAGTATAAACAACCATTCGTATTGAAAACAATTTTTATTTTCATAATTTTACCATCCTCCACTAGTGACCAATGCAATACTGATTCTACTTTTCGCTGAAATACATGAAAATCTAGATACTAACAGGAAAGTATCTGGAGGAATATTGACCACATGCGTCCAGGTCTCCTTCCTTAGATTAGGTTATTAGGTAAGATAAGGTTATGTTAGGTTAGGTAAGGTTAAGTTAGGTTACATTAGGTTAGGTTAGGTTAGGTTATGTTAGGTTAGGTTAGGTTATGTCAGGTTAGGTTAGGTTATGTTAGGTTAGGTTAGGTAAGCTTATGTTATGTTAGGTTAGGTTAGGTCAAGTTCGTTTCGATTAGGTTCGGTAACGTTGCAATGTAGATACCTGGTTTTATCCATTGGCCATGTGGCTAGCTGCAACATAATTCGTTGCGCTTTGCCACGTTTGCCACACTAATTTTTCTTGTTTCGTTTAGCTACATAGCACCTAAAATCTGTGGCAAGATGCAACATTTTTTGTTGCATTTTGCCACGTGGCTAAATGAGCTGTGGCTAAATGAAACGAAATCGTTTAACCTGCTAGTTCTGAGATTTCTCGTAGGATAGGTGGGGGTAAAAGTACGCACAAGGCAACAGTACCCACTGCACTTTTTTTGGCGCGCTTTGTTTGAATTTATGTTGGCACCGGGTGAGGGTGTTGGTTGTTGGCAATATTGAGTTTCACTTGTTGACGAAGCTCAGTGCGAGGCGGACGTGTTTTGATGTAATTATGAGGGAAGTTCACTTTTCATGCGAAAAAGATCAATTTTTTTTACTTTTTATATTGTATGTTGTGAGTACACTAGTTGATGGAAAAAATCGGACAGGCACCATATTACAGTGTTATAGTGTTGGCTGCAATAATCCGTGCTTGTTTTCACACCTTGGGCCTTAGGCTCAAATTTTTGGGTTATGTTGTCCAATGTATAAAAATGGGGCAAAAGCACGCGCCCAAAAGTGTGGTGTGGTGGGGAGGGGGGATTTAGGAACTTCAAAATAGAAGATGTAAGCAATTCCGTGCTTATCTCAATAAATATTTATGTTCCTTTGTTCGATTCCCAAGTAGCCAAGTTTAAAATTCGGATTTAGCGTCAAAAATGACTGATTAATCGCTGAAAACATTGCTACCCGCGATTTTTGCAAGCTCTTTTCCTTTTTAGCCTGACCATGAGCCCAAAACCTGTAGGGATGAAGAAATATTTGGGAAGAGAACAATTCACTGGCAGTATTAAGGGTGCACCAGAGGTTATGAGAAATCTAAAAACAAGCGGGAAAGCTCTAATACGTGGGTATTAGAGAAGCGCTCAGCGGTGAGCGCAATTTTAATGAGTCTCAGCTTTCATTTACGACCTATTAACTGAGAATGTTTAAGTTTGCAAAAATAAGCTGAAAGAGAGCTTAATTCCTATAGCTGAAATTTCCCAAACACGGGATTTGCCAGTGAGATTACGGCTGCACAAGTGCACAGATACCGACCAGTGCATGCCGGCACCTTGCCGTCGCGTCGGGTTTCCCTAGACCGACCGGCCAGTCCCGAACGGTCAAACCGGGTACCGAATGGACGCACCGCGATGATCCGCGCCGTGCATCGCTCGAACGCCCTCTCCGCATGTATGTAGGTGAACGGTTGGAAATACACGAAAACGGACGAAAATTTTGCCCTCAGACCCGTAATTCGGCAAAACCCTTTTGGATAGACCATCCACACTCACTTTCACGACATTACGGTAGATAGGCCATTCTGGAGGGCGCTTTCGACTGTTCATCGGGTGAAAACTAGAGTACCTTTATAAACAGAGTATGGCCATTCGTATCTTTTTACTACAGGAAAACTGTTCCGCTTTTTGATTGGTCAACGAGTTTTTAGGCTTCATGATGCTCTTAGGGCCGTAAATAAACAAACAAGGTGGCAGCTCACCGTAACATCGATGAGAAGCTAAATTTGACAAAAATTTCAATTATGCGGCAGTAACAATTTAAACGTGCATATCTACGAATATCACACGAAAAACACATGAAAACATTGTTAAATTGCCTTTCACCTTTATCACAGGAGGATGTAAGATGTGCATAACCTCAATCTTGCTTGCTGATAACAGCCATCTTGTTTGTTTATTTACGGCCCTAAGAGCATCGTGTCAGCCTATTCGCTCGCGACCAATGAAAAACCGGAACAGAAATGGCCATACTCTGTCTATAAAGGTGCTCTAGTGAAAACAAGTGCACAAGGTGTGATTTACTCGTGGACGATACGTCGAAACGGACGAAATTTCTGCCCTTTCGAGCAACAATTTGACAAAACCTGTGAGGAAACATGTGTTCGAACCTTTTATGTATTATATTTAAAATGTAGGCTCTTGAGGCCTATATGCGGTACTAGGAGGTCAATTTTATGCGGTGAAATTTTTGATACTTCATATGGGGCTCATTTGACAAATTCTCTTCGATAATTCGCGTTTCCCCTCTCAAAGTCGAAAGTGTCGATCCGCCCTACTCTATATATCTCGGAATTCGTCACCATGTATCACAGGATGCGTCTCCATATATCACAGTGGCTACTATGTATCACAGGATTAGTCACCACATATCACAGCGGTTGCAATAAATTACAAAATTTCTCGTTTCTGCATTGCTGCCCAAACGGTGCACCATACTAGACCGGTGTCATCCTTGACTTTGATGTGTATTGTGGTACAATAACCTCATTCAGTTTGCTGATCTACAGATTTTGTCCATTTGTCCAGAATGATATCAGAGGGGCTCCTAAAATTTTAATTGCATTTCATTTGCTAGTTGAAAAAGCGGCTGAGAAGCCCCGAAACGTTTTGACACTTTTCCCAATTTGTCTGGAAATTCTAGGTCACAAGAACCACTAAATAAGAACTTCAAACTATTCCTTCGAAGAATACTTTATAATAAGTATCGTCATTGAGAATTGTTGCCAAAATATTAGTGGATAAGCGTCTCAGCAGAACTTAAATATTTCGTCACCAGCCTCCATTCATCACCAATCATCTGGTAGTAGTCAGTTCGCATTTTTTGGCTGTGTTGTGACTACATCGTGGATCACTCGCAGTATTCGCGACTGCTAGGGACTATAGATACATGAATACCTGGTGGGTGCATGGTCGTGTTCGATAGCGTTTGCCAGAGCTGTCGATAAAATCCGTCGTTGGTTACATAGACGGCCGCTGAGCTTAGCGGAAATGTGAAATGTATCATGAGATTCAGCATAGGGACACGGTCCAACTTCAGGGACGACGCGGTATACGATGGCAAAAGATACCTGTGCCTAGGCCCCTACACTCCTACAGGGTGCCTTCTGGAAAGCCCGTCGCACTACCACTACTTCTACAACAACTACTACAACAACTATACTACTATATATTTAGTTACATAGTGAGGATAATGATGTGTGCGGAGGAGGGGATATTCGATCAACTAAATTCTGTCTGCACCGTCCTCCAAACCAGGAAGTTCTGCGCTCTGTTTTACATCGTGGTGAGAGAGAACGAAGTACACCGTTTAGTCGTTATTCACCAGACTGCTATTTGTGATTATCTAAGGTAAAGAGATTTCGATTCTAGGAACTAAAAAAGATTAGATAAATTTGAGAGATGATTACACCATTGCGTAGGTATGGGAACATATTAAGACTATTTTAGCGCAAGAAATCTTATTTGTGAGTCAGACAGAACTCTTAAAGAAATATTCCGGGACGATGTCTACATTCAAGGCTACAGTATATTTGTGACAACAGTAATTTATCTTGTGATAATTCAGCTTTGTAGCTGAACGGCACAAAGTGTTCGGTAGCTCACCCTAGCAGCGATGGAGGTGGTCGGTTTTTCGAGGAGATCCCATAAATACTGCTGGTATCGCGAGCACTGACCCTCGCCAAACTCTTCTTCGTCGCGCTGCCGCAAGGACTCAGCCTCCTTTCGCATCTCCTCGTGAACGTGCTCCTTCCGTTGGTGATACTTGTGCTGACAGCACGACTCCAGGTACAGCTCGTCTACTCCCCAGTACTGGAACCATCAGTACCCATCATTAGCAAAATTAGCAGGTCATGTCTGAAGTACATCAGATACTTTAAAGTTCCGGAGAAGTTTTCGCAATGCAATGTTACCTGAATAGTAGAGCGCTTGGAAAAAAATAAAAATAAAAACAAAAAAAAAGAGCCGAGACACGATCTTGGAAATGTGTGATAGCACTTGACACGGTGATATCTACATATGTACGTGGCATCATCCTTTAAATATATATTATCAGTCTAGGAGCATATGTTCATTTTTTGGGACTCGTAAGACCGTTCAAGACGCAAGTTGGCGACATGGCGTGATTATTTTGACGTCCTGAAACAAGATTTCGATGTTGCCACCCTCGATTTTTATCGGAATACACCTAAATTTAAAGTGGCATTTAAAGGTGGTGTAATCGGTGTGTGGAGATCCCTCTCTAGGGGTCTCCAGGAATTGAAAAGTGGCCCCCGACCTAGAGCTGCCGCATAGTTCTGCTTCGTTTCCGCTATATATCTAAAATAGAGAAACCCCCGATGCATCACTAGATCTTACGTCCTTAGACATGGCAACAGAACAGCGGAAAGATGAAGACTTTTCAACCATCATCTAGGCATTAGAACAACCCGAAACATGCACAAAATCAACACACAAAATGGTTGCCAGTTTCTATTTGAAGAAAAATACCCTCTACAAAGAAAAATAATAAATATAACAATATTTTAGCCGTTCCCTCACATTTGGTCTCATTAATTTTGTATCAGATTCATGATGACCCTTTCTCTGGACATCGTGGCATTTATAAAACAATCAACAAAGTAAAAAGCCGATTTTACTTCAAAAATATGACAAGAATAATAAGGAATTAGGTATGTTCTGTCTTGTCCAGACTGTCAATTTGCCACAAAAGTGCACGATCACGAGAAATATGGACATGTTCACATGTTGGGTCCCATTCAATTCCAGGCGCCATTTTCACAAAATTGCCCACTGACGCACTTGGACCTCTTTCACCGGCAAAGACATCTAAATGGATCTAAAGTTCGACATGTGCTCGGAAGTATATGTTACAACACACGTTTTGTGTACCTAAAAGCCGTCAAAGACGTTATCGGCCCGACCATTGCTGCATTTTTTATGGGAACATTTTCACTTTTGGGATGCCCGTCAGAACTTATCATGGACAATGGTCCTCGGTTTGCGTCAAACTACGTTTCAAACACTCTCAAGCAATTCGGAGTTAAAAAATCACCATCCCTCCCCTACGCAGCACGGATGAACGGCGCTATTGGAAGAATCTGGTCCACCGTTGGAAATGTTATGCAATGCTACGCGAGCATAAATCAATCTGATTGCCCGCAAATCCTCCCTGGAATCATGAAAAGTACCTATTAATTCGTGTACCCAGTAATCTGCTCGTTGGGCTGGCACAAAAAGTGCGGGTTTTTAATCATCGACAAAGATAGTAGTAAAAACGACGGAAGGTACCGGAAAGGTTTCGATACTTACTTTGAACAAGATGGATAACTTATCATATACGACGATCGCTCAAAAATACAATAGAATTGAGAATATCCGTCAAGATATAAAACGAAAGTTAAATGCAAACGCACCGGAGAGACGGACGCTCAGATGACGATGAAGAAAGTTTTCACACCGTTGACAGATCCGCTCGCAAAATAGCAGAAAACTATAGTAGTTANTGGGGATACCACTTTAAAAAAAACGCGCTGATAACCCTACCTCTATGGTGGTGTGGAAACGGGTTTCTCCATAGCAAAAGATTGCTCTAGAGTGTTGTCACAATGTGTTCTGAGGCTCTAGTGTTGTCAGCATGGGAGTGTTTTTGAGGGGTCTCACTTTGCAGTGTGGTCATAATGTGTTTTGGTGTGTTTTTGCTGGGGTCTCACTTTTTCTAACTACTAACTATGTCAACCACAACTCCCATACTTGTCGCTGCCACCGCTCCTCAGGAAAAGAAAACCAAGACCGGAACAATACTGGTCGAACCTTCAACATCGGAAACGAAAGGTGCAACAATGTTCGTTGATAGTTTAGTTGCTTTGTTCGGATCACCAAAAAATATGATCAATGATGATGACGACTCAAAGGAGAATGATGACGATGATGAAGACGATGAATCGTTCCAAGATGCAAAGGATAAAGAACAAACGACGAGTCGCACTGGAGACCAGGATTCTCCTGAGATAATACAGGCGACCAATACCCCAAACGTGCAGTGGTACTTGGAGGATCTAGAGAAACGTCCGAAAGAGTCCGATACCGCGTTTGGTGTGCGGCAAGAAATCAACGGAAACTAGCTAATTGGAAAACGTACCATTAGCTTCGATTCGGATGGACGACTAATCATGGACGGTGACGACGAATACGACGAAGAGGTGTTCGAACCGACACTTGGGTTCTTGGAGCTCCTTCTTAAGAAACATCCGAGTAATTACACAGAAAATAGTCGCGCGAAATTCCAACGAGTAGTAACACTCACCAACTCGCATGAATGGGATCATCACCCACGCGGTAGACCCGAGGCGAAGCGAAGTAAATGCCACGATCTCATCAAACCTTTGTTCACTACATCGACTCCGAGATCAACGAGGAAGTCACCGTGTGAAAAATCGAAAAAAGGCTCCAGTGTTGAAATTCAGCGTGCGAAACGGGAACTCGTCGATAGGGACGATCTGAACGAACTGGTCCAACGTCTTGTTTTACTTTTAGTTTCGAAGCAAGCTGGTCACATCGATTACGATCGTGACATTCTGAGTATCGTCGAAGAGCTCCGCGAAGCGGATTACATCTACTAAATAAAAGTAGGTACGCACAAGAAAATGAGTCACACCGGTTTACAAGATCGAAGGGGATTTACGTTCGCAACTCGAAGCAAGGCCCAAAGTTGACGGTTTTCTATTGGATTCGGATGGAAATTATCTCGTATCGAACAACGGAATCCGTCAACTGCAAAATCCCGAAGAGAATACTGACGCCGTGAACAAACAATGGACAGACTCGAAGTGGACGGAAGCTATGAATTTAGCACAGCTTTGTTTGGAGAATATGAGAGAATACAAAAATACCATGCAACGACTAGAGATGAAATTTTCAATACTGGAAAATAGGATCAAACAATTTGAGGTTCCAAAACCAGTTGTGAATCGAGCGAAATGAAAATAGTGTTACAATGAGTTGCAACGACGGTTTTGGTCGATCGCTGTTCCGCCGCGGTCCCAAAGGTAGCGGTTTTTAATTGGATTCTGATGGTCATTATATCGTATCGAACAACTGGATTCGTCAAGTGCAAAATCCCGAAAGCGATGAAGATGCAGTGAACAAACAATGGTCCAAAAGGAAGTGGAAGGAAGCCACGAAATTAAGTCAACACTGTCAGAAGAGTGTTCACCAACTTCAGTAATCTTACGAACGTCTGACAAAAATAGTAGGATCGAAACAGCATTTGATTCGAGGGAGTGGACGAAGACGTCGACGGTAATGATCATGTCAGCAGAGAAACGTGGGATCATCGAGGAGTTACATAAGCTTCCCTGTTAAAAAATGCACATGTTGGTAACATGTTGAGACCATGTTGTTACCAACATGGTCTAAAATGCCCATGTTGGTATCAAGATGATGTCAACATGGTATCAACGTGATATCAATTTGGGGTAAAAGACCAACATGATACCAACATGCTAGCAATATGGCAAGTCCCAATTGATTTTAAAAAAATGCTGTCAACAACACTGCACAAAATATGGTAACATGATGATATCAATTTGGACTTTCTTACCGTCATGATAAAGAGTTGATGTAAAGTTAGATATCTGTTGGCCCCATCATGGGAACATACTGATATTGCACTGAAAAAAAAAGTTCGGTGATTTTTACCGAACCCTTCGGTATACGGTTGTTCGGTGGCACAAACCTAAGTATTGGGTTTTTTGAACCAAACGGCATTACGGCGTTTGGAACACACGACCAACCAAGTTTTGTAAGGTTTTACCGAACTTTTAAGGTCACGGAAACCGATCATTGGGTAATTCGCACCGAACTTTCAGTATATATTCGGAGACAGTCGGAAACGTTCGGTTGGCGTTTTATTATTGTATGTGTTGATCCAAAGATATGTTTAAAGATGATTTCCTTATTTGAAATCCATGTTGATATTTTTTCTGTGATTAAATTTTCCTTTCGACTTTTTTTTATCTATTTTACTTTCGAAACTCATTTCTGCATCAAATAAAATTTCATTTATATCTGCGGCTTAAAGTCAAAAGAATGTTACTCAATTAAGATAGGACCAGGAAGTAATTATAAAATATATTAAATAATATTAAGAATTTATATTATTAATATGATGAATCATAATAGAATAAATATAATATATAATATAATAAATTATAATATATTATAATAAATTATATTATAAAAATTGGTAATAATATTAATTCATTTTTCATTAATTTATATTACTTATTTATCTTATCTCGTTTATAATATTTTCATTTTAATAACTATTTATCCGTCTAAATTTTATTTTGTTTTTTTCATGTGTTGTTCGTACCTACTTCTCTCTTTCAAAAACTTGATCAAGAGTGGCGGTAGCCACCCCCGGTCGAGGAAAATGACGTCCTACTAAAGTCCCGATAACAAACGGGTGGCCGACACTCTTAGTCACAGGCAACTCCCTTAATCTGAAAATTGATTCGATTGCCATTCGACTGCAGCCCAAACGACGGCACGGATTCCTACGATCTTGGTGTCTACGGACGCATCTCAAGGACTACAAAGTGGAAGAGTTTCATGAGGATCCATTGAGTTTTCAAAAAGTTATAAGCACTTAATGACCCAAAACGAGGAAAATTTTATTTTTCACTTTGCCGGGAAATTTGAATTTCAAGAGTCCAGAGTCCTGAGAAAGTCACTCAAACTCCGCGATAACGGTAAACCTTAGACCCATAAAAGTGGGTAGCTAAAGAATCGCCATGTTACCGTGTGTG